AAACTAAAATATATATTCAAAATAAATTTTGTTCTCCACTTTAGTATTTAGAATAAAACGCGTTCCGCCTTATAATAACATAATCTCCGCCCTAATATATATTATATATAATAAGTCGCATTTCAAGTTTTTATACAGGTACTTGATTTAAAGATTTAAATTTTTTTATCAAAATATAAAAATATATAAGATTGGTTAGCTTAAATATATAAGGTTGGTTAGCTTAAATATATAAGATTGGTTAGCTTAAATATAAAAGGTTGGTTAGCTTATTTACATTTTATTATATCAGTTAACATATTATTTAACATTTTTTAAAAACCTAATATCTTTTTTATGTTTAAAATGCGTTTATCTTATACCTTTCAAAAGGATGAATAATCACGAACATATTAAACCGATCACGGGGGAGTTTTTAATTTGGTCCAATAATACTTTTATCTTGGTATTAACAAAAATTAGTATTATTTTGAATCATAAGTTGACAGTACAAGAAATACTTATATACTAACTGAATTTAAAAGTTAAAAGTTATGAGCGCGCTCAACATTTTTTTTTAAACAATTTAATAGTGTCATTTTTATAAAATTGAGCAAAACTCAAAAAAACAAAAAACATAAAAATCATAGTATTTGTGAAGTTAAACAATACATAATAAATTTACTGAGTAACGCGTATGATTTTAAATGTAGCGAAATACTTTAGAAAAAAATAATACTTAAATAATAGTAAAAGTAAAAACATTTTAAAAAATATTTAAAAAGTAGAAATTCACAAAATAACTAGTCAATTACAATAACTTGAATAAATGTTATTCGTTACTTTCCGCCTCCGCTTTTTAAACATATTAATGAATAGTTAGATAAAGTTAATGAGTGGTTTGTATGTAACAAACTTTTTCTAAATGCTGATAAAGCTAAATTCATTTTGTTTCAAAAACTAAATAAAACTGATAACGTCCTATTAAAATTACCAAACTTTATTATAAATAAAGCTATAATTAAAAGAGAATCATCGGTGAATTATTTAAGAGTTGAATACGGGAGCCTGCATAATCGCGAATTGGCATATGTGCGCACTTTTGCCAGTTTTTGTAACTGCTTTGCACCTATGCCAGTTCGCACTTATGCCAATGTTTGCAGATTTATTAGGCACACTTATGCCACTGCTTCGCACTTATGGCATAAGAGCGAAGAAGTTACAAAAACTTTTTCAAAATGCTGATAAAGCTAAATTCATTTTGTTTCAAAAATTAAATAAAACTGATATGCGAACTGGCATAAGTTATGCCAGTTCACACTTATGCCAATTTGCAGTTCTGCTAATGTTTGCAAATTTGTTCTGCGCACTTATGCCAATTCGCACTTATGCCAGTTCGCACTTATGCCAATGTTTTCAAAATGTTTTGGCGTATTTATGCCGATTCACACTCATGCCAGTTCGCACTCATACCAGTTCGCACTTGTTTCATTTTTTATAACTGTTTCGCATTTATGCCAATTCACACTTATGCCAATTCGTACTTATGCCAGTTTGCACTTATCCCATTCGCATTTAAGCCAGTTTGCACTTACGAAATTTGCGCTTATTCAGTCGTTCAGTTGAATAGGACAAAAATATAAGATGGAACTTTTATATAAACAGTCTTGAAAAAAAAAATTCTAGAAATATAGGAATGATTTATGGAGTTCAACCATTTCTTAATTTCAAATCATTAAAAAATTTATATTTTGCTTTTATCCAAAGTTATCCAACATACTGTAACATCGCCTGGGCGATCATACAAAATTAAAAATGCTTTACAGTAAACAAAAATATACATGTCGAAATATATTTGGAGCAAATAGAGCAGAACCCTGTGAGCCTTTATTGTGTTTATTTGGAGCTTTGAATATTTATAAAATAAATTTACATGAAATTTTAGTTTTTATGTAAAGAATTGAGCTAGGATTGTCGCCAAAAATATTTGAATCCTATTTTAGTGAAATCTGCCGTAAATATAGCACAAGATTCTCAGTCAACAACTTTGCTATCCCAAAATATAGTTTAAAATTGAGTTCATACTCAATTAAGTATCGTGGGCCATATTTATGGAATTTATTTTCAGATATTACAAATAAAAAGAAAACCATTCTTGATCGATTTAAAAAAGAATCCAAACGGTGATTCTTGTTTATGGATCTCACTATGCTACATTTTAAATTCTTTTAAATAAAGTAAAACTATAATAATAAAAAATCAAGATAACTTAAAAAAATTCTTTTAAAAGAATGTTATCGCAATCCACCATAACAAAGTTTATTAATGATATTACTCTCTTAATATAAATATATGTATCTCTTTTTTTTTTTTTCATTTTATTACAAGTATATAATCGTTTTTTTGCAACTGCAACTCCCTACTTTTTCTTTTTACAAATACAGAGAATGTAAGCATTTTAGAAATTAATAAATACTACTTTGTATATTTGCGCCAATATAATATAAAATTTATAAATCATGATTTTATAAAAATGGGGCTCGGTGATAAGACAGAATTATGTCTTTTTCTTGCTCTAGTCATTACTTATTTTGTTGTATGTATATGAAAATTGTATTTATTGTAAAAAACGAAATAAACATATAAAAAAACAAACAAAAAAAACCCATAATATTTTGTTTGTTGTTGTTAATATGTAATTATTTATAACATAGTAATAAAATATAGAAAAATGCGTTGGAGGTATCCTGAAAATTGTGCCAGATAAAAAAGATGTCGGTGACCGTGGAAAACTAACTCTCGATGACTTTTTTTATGATATTTTTTAGATCTGTAATCTGAAACATGTTTTAATATTGTGTATATTTTTAATCGTGTTTTTATTGTTTTAATTAATGAGAGACACGGGTTATCGTTTCTGTTATGATTACTAAACGTTAAATTTTTGTCCCCAAAACCCTAGAAATTCTTTGATAGCTAAAATACGCTAGTTGCATGAAAAGTGTTTTTTAAACGTTTAAAAGACGTTCTGAACGTAAAAAATATTTTTTTTATACTTTGTATAACTGTACTTAAACGGAAAATCTTATTCTAGTCTTTTTACAACGTCTTGAAAACATACTAAAAGAACGTCTTTGAGCATGTAATCTAGAAAAGGTTTAGAACGCGTCCGAGACATTAAAAATGCAATAAATGAAACGATAAAATTTGTTTAAATTTCTGCTCTTGAAGCGAAATCTGTGGATAGTTTGGCACTTTCTTTGTCTACAGACTGTGACAGCATATTTATTAGAGTGTCAAAATTAAATTTTACGATAAAAGAAGCAAAAGATGCCATTCTATAAGTTCCTTATATATTTATTAGGCTTTTTTTTTAAATTAAGGAAATTGTTTTAATTATAGGTTAGCTTGGAGATAACCTAAAAATCTCTGTTTTGTTCTTCTTGAACTTTATTTTATAAATTTTATGATCAGAGATTAATTTTTGCTGTAAATATGTTTGGCAGGGTATAAAAATTTTAATGCTAGAGTACATAACCATAAAATTTAGAAAATAATATTGATTATAAATTGGTTTATAGTAAAAATAATACTAAATGAAACGAAGAAGTTGAAAGATTTTTAAAATCATTTATAGATGTAACTTTGCTTCTGGATGGTTGTGGATTGGTCTTGGAGATTCGAAAAGTGAATAAATTAGAAAAACTTAAAACATTTATTGCTAGTACATTGTTTATTGGCAGACTTTAAAAATGAATTCATATTATGCTGTGCTGATTACAAGGCATGTGTTGTATACGCAACATCCGATATGCTCATATAGGAGAGTATAGGATGCCCCCAGGAAAAAAAGTTCTATAGAATTTTCTATAAACTTTTGAAACATATGGCCTATAGAAACTCTATAGAATTGTCTAAAAAGTCTATTAATTTCTATAGAAATTGCTATAAAACTTTTTTTTCTATAAAAAAAAAAAAAAAGAAAAAAATTTTAATAGGAATTTTTATAGAAGTTAACACAAACTCTATAGAAATTCTATAGAATTCTATAGAATTTTTATAGGCCATTTGTTTCAAAAGTTTGTAAAAAAATCTATGGAGCTTTTTTTCCTGAGGTTGCGTCTAAATATAGTAAATTCTAAATAAAATTGAAAATGATGAAATTAATTCTTGCATTCGTTAACTGCAATTAGAAAACTGGAGAAGATACTGCAAATTTAGTTTTTGAAACTAAACAAAAGTTTAACCCAGTAAGAAAAAGACGTCAAGCCGTAGTTGTTATTTGGTTGTATTTTGGTCGCGACGCAAATTAACTAAATTCCAACGATGTTCTGACGTCGGCATAACGGTGTTGTTCTAACGTTTGCTATCAAACGTTGGAACAACGTCGGAAAAACGTTATCATCTAAAGTCTTAAATGTTAACATAAAAACGACGTTGGAACAGCGTTGGTTAATAAACGTAAAACCAACGTTAGTCTGATTAACGTTGGAACGACTTTGGAACAACGTTGCTTTTTTTACGTTTTTACTTTTGACATCAGAGCAACGTCAGCTTTCTAACGTAAACACAACTTGATTTTACAAACTTGCGCATTTTTAAAATGGTTGAAAAACCGTTATCGTAAAAGATGTTATTTTTAATCTAATTTTAATTTAATGGTTTTTAGGCATTATATTCTGTGATACTAATAATTAATGCATTATTTCTTTATATTCTACATTCGAATTAGATATTAAACTTTTATCATATCAATGATAAACAAAAGTTACTAAAAATTTATTTGATTTTTAAAAACTGTTGACATTTTTGTTATGTTTTTGTATACTTTGTATATTTAACATTACTTTATATTAAAAATTTAACATATATAATATTTGCACATAATATTTTATTTAAAAATAGATAATGCAATGATAGGTTTTTTAAATACCTGTTATTAAACTATTTAACAGTTTAATTAAATGCCAATGAAAATACAGAGCCTTTTTTTTTTTAAGACATTCAATTCAGTTTTCTAAGACAGTTGTAAGTTGTATTAAAACAAGGTTTTTACGTAATATACATAATATATTAAGTATAAATTTAAAACAATTAATTATAGTAAGACAATGTCTTAATCATAATATATATTTTATTTATTTGAATGAAAAGTTTTTTAGTTTGTTATGGAACTAGACTAGAAATTACCTAATAAGCTTCTTATAACTTGTGTAATGTGTTTCTTTTACGAATTTGTATATTGGTATAATCATATCATGCTATTCCTACAATATTATAACTAACACTGAAGCTTGAGTCTCAAGTCATGAAAAAGGGTAAACAATTTTTTATGTATTTTTATTAAGTTTTTTTTTTTTTTTTTTTTTTTTTATTGTTATTCACCTCTGGGTTACTACCAGGAACATGGTAAGTATAGAACTCATAACTTCTCACGCAAAAAATATATCCTACAGAAACAGCAACAGAACATCTAAATTTTACACTAGATCTTAGTCATAATAAACAAAATATTTATTTAAATTAATACACACAGAGTGTTAGATTATATACACTCAGTCAGTATTTAATTTTTGAAATGAATCACAATTTTATGTTTCCCTAGTTTCAGAGTTGAAAGAAAGAGCTGATTTTGGCCATAAAGGCCATAAAGGGTGCTGCAGTTGAGGAGGCTCCTTTTATTTCAATTGTGGTCATAACCCCCTCTCAACTCAATAACTCCGAAGTATTTCAATAAAGTTTATGTCAAATATATTTGTGTGTAGTTTTTGTATATGATATGTGATATGATATAGTTTTTAAAATTGATATGTTTTACCAAAATACATATATATATATATATATATATATATATATATATATATATATATATATATATATATATATATATATATATATATATATATATATATATATATATTTATATACATAAATATATATATATATATATATATATATATATATATATATATATATATATATATATATATATATATATATATATATATATATATATATATACATATATATATTTTTTGAATGTTATTATTTTTTATGTGCAGAGTTAAAGTACTAAGTTATCAAGGTGTTTAAAATCAGAACAAGTCGATTTAAATATACATAATCACATTATTTAATCTTAAACTTAAACTTAACAATAGAATATTTGAACAAGTTTACACTAAGAATTGGTAACAAAGGTTTTGCTCAACAGTTAGTGAGTTTGATTTCAATATGTTTAACGTGATTTAGAGAACAAAACCTGGACAATATATTTTAACGCCCAGCTTTTGAAACAGCAAAAAATTTACAATTACTTTATTAAAATGAATCTAAATCATTTGCTGTTACAAATTATGTCATCCTATTTATTCAGCCTATAAATATTTTTAAACATTTTAGATTGGTTGCAGCCTAACAAAATTGTGAAAAAACAATATTGAATAATTCTAATGTTTTAAAATTTTATTTCCGTTACAAAATTTAGTGAATAAAAATGTTTTATATTTATGAGTTTGCCATGATTGCTCTGATTGAATCATGGTAAAATACTTATTCAGTTCTAACTGTTTATTAAATAAGCTTGGGTCTTTAAGGCTTGACCTTGGTGAATGCAGTAAAAAATATTTAAATAAGATCTTATGTGGAAAACACTTCAATGTGCCTTTTTTATATTTTTTTCTTTTTTAGGCCAACTTTTACGTGTTGGCGGAAAGTTACCAAAATAAGTTAAGGACTTAATTCAGAGGTAACTTTTGTATTTCTTCATTTATATTTTTATTTGTTTTATGTATATTCAGAACATTGAAGGCATTATGAGTTAATGCAAAGATTTTGTTAATTATTATTTTAATATTACTTTAAATGAGTATACATATTGCATGTGAATATTTATATAACACATTAGCAAACTAATACAAATGGCTACAAAAATGATATCAATAGAACATTTTGAAGTATTTTTATTATAAAAGTTCATTTCTTAAAAGTTAAAAAATGCTAATTTAAATTATGAAAATTGTCAAAATATGGTAATTATTGAAGTTTAATCAGTGATTTTTTCTTTAAGCCTATTCCAATAGTTTTTATATTTTTGAAAGTGATTTCATGTTATATTTTACTAAACTCTCTATAAAAAATGCTCATTTAGTAAACCCTTTGATATTTGTCCTGATTTTTAATTTTTGACCTTGTTCAATGGCCAGTTAAACATTTAGTTGCACATTTTTCATTATATAATTTGCTTGTCTAAATGCAGCAATCATGTGAATACTGAAAAATTATTGTAATTATATTTGTCTTGGTTTTCACATCTAGCCATTGATATTAAAAGTATGCTCCATAATGATCACATGTGTATTAACCAATGATATTTTATATAAACAAGTTGTCTTACTTCAATTCAAAAAGTGAAGCCGCTTTTGTCCTTTTTACAAATGACGGATGAAATTTGTAAACAAATACTGTTTAACTATTTTTTTATATATGAAGTAAATATATTTTTATATATGTAATATATTTTAAATCTATATATGTAATCTATATATGTAAAAGTGTTAAGAGGAAATTAGAGTTCTTGTAAAGTAATAATTTATGATTTCTAAATTTTTTTTCGATTAAAAAGGGATTGAAATTTAAAATAGAAATAAACCTTAAATAAACCTAGTACTTTATATTTATTATAACATGTTTTTAAAATATCTTTAATTTATTGGTTAATTTTAACTCGCATTTTGAACTTTTATTCCAAACATTTGTTTCAGCTTTAACATTTTTTACAAATGGCAAATTATATTTTTAAGCAAAAAAAGCGACATAATTTTTTTTCAATAAAGGACCGCAAGTTGACATTTTTTATAGTTTTCTGAATAATTGCTTCTTGATATATCTGCCTTTTTATTTAAAAATTTATTGGCTTTTGGTAAGAAGTTGCCACTTGCTCAAATTGCAAGGGTTTAAGTGAAATATAAGTAGTTCGGATTGGAAGAAAAAACACCTAACAAAGTAACCATTAGTCTTAAAAAGAGCTATTTATAAAAACAATTTTTGATTCTTTGCTTAGTGAAAATGTACCATTTCAGTTTCTTTATTTACCATGCAATTCATGTTATAAAAAAATATATTGCCAAAATAACACTTGTAAAAAAATAACTTTCTAGAAATCTGAACTCAAAAATATTTTATATCTTTTGAGGTTCAAACTAGACATATTTTTTTCCATTATTTCATGATTGTGTGTTTTAAATCAATTTTGTTTATTTATTCAATTAAAATTATTTTGGAGGTAATTTCATTAGTTTTGCATTTTACTGAGGTATTGTTTATTCTATTTCAGATAATGTTGCTAAAAGATTTACAGTTGATAATCTTTCAAAAGCAGAAAAACTCAGGTTAGCATCAATTAGAAAGTTAGCGCAATTTCTGGTATTTGTGGTATTTCTATTTGTTTATTCCAAATGTTTTTTATTTAGTTCTTTTAATTGGAAAAAATGCTTTTAATTGGATTTGTTTGTAACTTTATGTTTCTTCATATATATTTGTCTTTTAGTGTCAAACAAAGAATACGCGAATTATTTGAGATATGATTGAAATTTGCAAAGAAAGTAAAAATCAAACTAGTTTCATTCTAAGTTATTGTATATAATTTTAAAATTTTGGAATACAGTCATTCTGGGTAACTTTGAATTTGCGGGTAACATTGAACTAAACGTGTGAATGTTTTTAAATTTTTTTTTCTTTGATATTTTCTTTGCCTGTTGCTTTAACAAAGAATAATATGATGAATTATCTTTTTTTACAAAAGTTTGACCAAAGAAAATTAAATTTTATTTCTCAAAAATAATGTTTTCCTCCATTTCCAGTTACACAGTCTAATGTGGTGATAACATCGTGTGTTTTCAATTTAGAATATTTGGTATTACATTGTAATTATCTGAATAGATTTTTAAGTATTTTATTGAATTATTTTTCGAACTTTAATACAAACTCAAAATAATAGGATTTAACATGTTTTTTGCTACAAAAAGGATATTTATTTCCACTTAGCTAAAATATAACCAAATTCAGGGTAACTTTAGACAATCAATATTTTTCAAAAATGCTTTTTTTGTTGTCTGAGTAACATTGCAATAATACATAATAAATAATAGGCATCTTTTTATTATAGTATTTTTATTATATAATGATATATGATATTATAAATATTAAAAATTATAACATATATTACTAATATATTAATTTTTGATATTTATGGCTATCTTGATAGATTTAATAATATATTTTATTAATAGCAAATATGCGATTAATTAAATAATTTTCATTAATAACATAAATCATCTTTATATTTTTAGCATTCATAAAATGCCAAGAAAATGTTCAAAAAGTCATCCTGGCACTAGAAAATATGGCACTAAATCTAATTACACCAATTCTACACTTCAAGAGGCTTTAGCCAAAATTAAATTAGAAAAAATGTCGATTGGTGAAGCTTCTAAAATTTATAAAGTACCTAAAGCAACATTATTTTATAAGCTAAAAAATAAACACTGTAAATCAGTAGGGCGCCCTATTGCCCTTAGCATTGATGAAGAACTTTGTTTTGAAAATCACTTACTTTATTTAAGTGACAAAGGTATACCAATTGGAATTAATGATTTTAAAAGTATTGTCAAAATCTATTTGGATGATAGTGGAAAAAATATACAACAGTTTAAAGATAACCGACCAGGTTGGGAGTGGTGTAAACTTTATCTTGACAGGCATCCATCATTAAAAGAAAAAGTATCTCATTGTATTTCAAGGAAACGTGCACAGATTAATTATTGTCAAATAAAATTATTTTTTCAAAATCTAGAGAAGGAATTAAATGAAGTAACGCCAGATAACATTTACAATATGGATGAAACAGGGTTTCATGATGACCCTGGAAAAAAAAAACTTATTTTTCGTCGATCTTCTCGCCATCCAGAACTTATAAGAAACACAACAAAAACTTGTTACACTGTTGTTTTTTGTGGAAATGCCTCAGGAAAACTAATTCCACCATTTTTCATTTTTAAAGGAAAACACAGTTGGTCTGACTGGCTTTTCAATGCACCAGAAGGATCAAGAATGGCAACTTCTTGCAGTGGCTGGATGGAAATTCAAATATTTGAAGAGTGGCTGTTAAATCACTTTGTTCCAAATATTATAAATAAGGAAGGTAAAAAAATTCTGATTTGCAATAATTTAAGTGCTCATATATCTTTAAAAGCCTTAAATATATGTGAAAAGTATAATATAACATTTATATATTTGGTACCCAATTCCACACACCTTTTACAACCTTTAGATGTTGGATATTTCTCGAGTTTAAAAGCTAATTGGAGGTCAGCTCTTAATCAATGGCGTAAAACATCCAGAGGAAAAAAGGTTAATAATCTGCCAAAAAATTTATTTACGCAGCTCATTAAATCTACTCTTAATGTTGGTAAAGAAAATCTAGAACATAATCTCCAAGCAGGATTTAAGGCTACTGGCATATATCCATTTTTACCAGAACATGTTCTCTCCAAATTACCCAGTTTTACAAATATAGATATTCAACTCAATATTGGAGAATCGTTTAGGAATTATGTTGATGATATTCATCTTAATTATGAAGTAAGCAAAAAATTTAAGTTACCAATAACAGCAGGGAAAAGTGTATCAGCCACTGAGGTAGAAGCATACTATAAGGAAAGAGACAATAAAATAAAAAGTCAAGATAATATTCGAGCAAAGAAAAGAGGAAGACCACTTGGATCAAATAATATGGTTATGAAAATAAACAAAAAACTTAATATTTTACAAAGTTCAAGCATTGTAAATGTTAATCAAGTTATTGAAGACGATGAACAAGTTTTACCTGTATCTCAAAATGATGCAGTTTTTTCATTGGAGCAAATAAACAATCACTATGTACATGTTTTCCTTGATCATGATTATTTTGTAAAAGAGTTAGTTGAAACTCAAGACTAAAAGAAGGAAACACTGTAATATTTAGTTTTATAGTCAATGGTGTTTATTTGTGGAGAATTATATAAAAATAATGTCTTATTTAATTTTTTCTTTTATAACCTTAAAAATTATTTTGTGAATATTTTATTGAAAAACTTGTTTGTTTATTCTCGAAATATTTTATTGAAAAACTTGTTTGTTTATTCTCGAAATATTTTATTGAAAAACTTGTTTGTTTATTCTCGAAATATTTTATTGAAAAACCTGTTTGTTTATTCTAGAAATATTTTATTGAAAAACTTGTTTGTTTATTCTCGAAATAGTTTAACTAGATTTTTTAAAAAATTAATTTAAACTTATACAAAGAAATTTAAACAACTTTTTAGATTTAAAAGATTAAAATTGACATTCAGTTTAATAGTGTTCAAAGTTACCCGAAATGCGAGGGTAACTTTGAACGCCTACTTGAACATTGTTTTTTTACATAATATCTAGCAAATTTAAAAAAATGATAGCAAACTAGAAAAAAGAGATCATCAGAACACTCTTTATGTAAAAATATTTGTTATCTAGTTAGTAAAACAATTTTTGTTGAGATAAACCTAGCGCAAACCGTTCAAAGTTACCCGTAATGACTGTAGAAGTGATGCAATGTTTATTTATTTTTAGTCTTTTAATTTCCGTATTTAATTAATTGCCCGGACTAATATAATAATCGTGTATAACCTAAATAAATAAGAAGAAATATAGCTTGACAGCGCAAAGTTATACAGTGTAAATTTGTCCTTTATTGTTTTTTGCAGTGTAGAAATAACATCAAAAATGATAGAAAAACGTTGGAGGGCGTTTTTCTTACAACATTTTGCAACATTGTTAATATAACGTTGACCTATGTTTCATATATGCCATTATTCCAACGTGTAAAAAACGATAGAGTAAAGACGTTGGCTCAACGTCATTTTAGCTAAAATATAACGTTAGCCTAACGTCATTATAACGTCTTTTTTCTTCAAATTTAACGTTGCTTTTACGTCTTTCCGACGTTATTTAGCTAAAATGTAACGTTGTCACCACGTCATTTTACATCGTTGGAATAACGTTAGTAAAATGACGTTTTTTCGGTGTTTCATTTATAACATCATGCTAACGTCTTTCTAACGATACGAAAGACGTTAGAACAACGTTGCTCCGACGTCATTTTTCTTATTGGGAATATTCTTATAAATGCCGTATACAAAGTTATGATAATGAATCCAACATAAGTAGATCCATTACGTTGCAAGTTGAAGTTTTTAATTTTTTTTTAATAGTAATGGGTGAATTATACGTATTTGCTACATCATATATATATATATATATATATATATATATATATATATATATATATATATATATATATATATATATATATATATATATATATATATATATATATATATATATATATATTAGGGTGGAGCGATTTTAAAAATTTTCGAAATTTGATTAGCCTGAGCTGCGAATCGATGCCTTTTGGTGAAAAAAGAGCTTTTCTTTTTTTTTTTTTTTAATATAAATGAGATTTAGGGGTACCTCTTTGGATTCTAAATTTATGACGAATCCTAATATTGTTGAAATTTTTTTTCTTCTAAACTATATTAACCTGGTATTCAAAAGAAGCAGAATAATACGTTTATTTTGAATATAATATTTGTTTTAATTTAAAACTGAAGAGAAAAAAATAATGTCGTTTTTTTCATTAAAAAACACCCGCCTTCATCAAAACGGGGGTTTTAAGGTATATTTTTGCAAATATTTTTTTCACTAAAAATTTTTTTTTAATAAAATAATTATTAATAAAACAAGCATTTTTTTCTGCTTTTTTTGAGTCCAAGGTTGATATAGTTTAGAAAAAAAAAATCAAAAATATTAGGATCCGTCAAGGATTTAGAATCCAAAGAGGAACCTCAAGATCTTATCAAAACCATAAAATATTTTTTTACTTTTATCTTATAAATAATAGACATCGATTCGTGTCTCAGGAATATTGATTTTTAAACTTTTTTTTTTTTTGCTATGAAAATCGCTCCACCCTATTATATATATATATATATATATATATATATATTATAAAATATAATAAAGTTAATTTATACTTAATGATTCATATATAACAGCAGAAAACAATCATAAAAGTCAAAACGTTTTTACAATAATAATTTACAATAATGTAGCTGGATAGCTCAGTTGGTTTGTGGCTGGATAGCTTAGTTGGTTAACTTCGGATATAATAATATATCTTAGGATATAAGAACATTGTATAGAAAAATATTGCATGAAAATTCAAATTATATAAAAAAACTTTTTGACATGCCACTATTTTCTAATGTTTAATATAGGTTACAAACAAAAATATTAGAAAGTATGGCTAGTTAAAACTTTTCCCTCGTTGAGTGAAATAGACAAATACGAGCGTTTTTAACAACATCTCGTGCAACTTAAAATATTCGAAAATTTCAAATTTATTTAAATTTTTACTAGCGCAATATAATTTATGAGGATTTAATTAATTTATTCGAATTTGTTGAAATATTTAAAGTATTTTATTTGGAACCAGGCAAAATAAAAGTTTAACTTTTCATTTTTTTAAAGCTTTTTGAAAATTTTACAAAGATACCTTTAACTACATCGAGGTGATGGAAATTTTTGATAATTTTCCCAAATTCAGCAACCAAAAATCAACTCTTATTTTAAAAAGGAAAATAATCGCAGACCTGTATTATCATAATTAAAACTGCGAGCTTGACAGTTTGTAAATTAATCGGTTGGTAGTATTTTATCGTTGTGTATCTTTTAGTTTAAGTTAAAGTATTTTTATGCAGCAGAATCTTGTATTTAAGTGGAACTTATACAGCAGAATCTTGTATTTAAGTGGAACTTCATGCAGCAGAATCTTGTATTTAAGTGCAACTTCTTTTGGTACAAAAATTAACATTATATGTAGTAGTAACCTAAAGGGATGGGAAATATAAAAGACTGATACTGGACAGTTTTTACACACTAGGATGGGGTCACATTTGAAAAAATTTTAAATTTAGGTTTGGCTGGCCAATTTTCCTATGTCTTTGAACATATGAACCTTAGAACTGATTCTCTTTATCTTTGCATTTAATTTTTAGTCAGGTAATTTTCAGCTTAAAAATATTAGTTTGATCATAAATATATCGTTTACGTCATAAATATATCGTTTACGTCAAGTTTTTTTTGCTTTGCTACTACTCCAATCAAAATTAATTCTAAACAAATTCCTCATCCTTAGATAAACTAGTTAAATTAATAATATATAAAAGTTACAATATAAATTACAATTTTATGTTATATTAAGTCTATACACGTAATTAATTAAATCAATCAAAAAAATCATACTCCAATTAAAATTAATTCTAAACAAATTCCTCATCCTTAGATAAACTAGTTAAATTAATAATATATAAAAGTTACAATATAAATTACAATTTTATGTTATATTAAGTCTATACACGTAATAAAACGATAAAATATTGACAAAGCATTTACAGTATAACTTTCTGAAATAATTTTTCTAAAATACTGATTACAGAATTTTCAGCAGATCTTTCTTTGATTGGCACACAGGCATCAGTTCTCAATGAGCTATTGTAGCCCTTATAATCTCATCTTTTCTCTTGTATCATCTTTCATCAAGCAACAAGTAAGAACTGTTTTGCTTATCTTCTTTGTTTCCCAATTAATTAAATTTATTAAAGATGTTTGCTATTTAAGTCACCTAGCAACGCACAAAGCAATTGTTTTAAAGTTTGTTTGTTATTTACTTTTTTTAGTACTATTTTAAAGTTGATTTTAGATTTTGTTTTTAAAAATATCATTATGTTTATTATGTTGTTTATACAAAAAAAAATACTAATAATATTTTGTTTGTACAAACAACATAATAAACATAATCCTGAGAAATCACGAGGTTCTTCCAGTTGACTTACTGATTTTGATATTCTTGCCAAAAAAATTGGTCTATATATAAATATATGCTTAACTTTTAGTTTTATAACAATTTGTATTATTTTATAAAATAATCTTGTTGCTGTTTAGCTATATATATATACATATATATATATATATATATATATATATATATATATATATATATATATATATATATATATATATATATATATATATATATATATATATATATATATATATATATATATATAATATATATATATATATCTATTTATATAGTATAAATTACAAGTTTATATATATATATATATATATATATATATATATATATTATATATATATATATATATATATAGTTATATATATATATATATATTTATATATATATATATATACATATATATATATATATATATATATATATATATATATATATATATATATATATATATATATATATATATATATATATATATATATAGTTATATATATATATTTATACATAGTTATATATATATATATATATATATATATAGTTTATATATATATATATAATATATATATATATATATATATATATATATATATATATATATATATATATATATATATATATATATATATACAAATTGAGTAGGAAAAACCATCTCGTAAACGTTGTTCTAAACGACGTAAAAGTGTTTCATTATAACTAACAATCTTTTAATCTACTGAAAGCTCAAGAGTTACAATTAATAATAAAACAGTTTCTCATAAGAGTTAAATGATTCAAAGGTTGAAGTAAAAACTTCAACCTTTTGTTGAATAACTGTCCAAATATGATAAGTTTGACCCAAACTTATTATATTTAGGTAGTTTGTTGACTATGTATCAAGTTATGCAATAAACATCAAAATTAAAGAAATGTAGGTGTTGTAAAAAAAAAAAATATTGTAATTTTTTAGTCACATAGTTAGGGGTAAAACTAGCATTTTAGGGGTAAAATTAGCATCTTTTAAATCAATAAATAAATGAAGAATGGTCTTAAGTAATAAGTTAGTTTTGAACTTTTTGAGGTTATTTGCACACTTCTAATATCAAGCTTTTTAATCGAAATACAATTAAACTTAGCTACAGTTGCACAAAAAAATAAAATAAAAAATTATAAAAGGTCAAAGATTTAAAAAAATATTAAAAAAAAAAAAAGCAAAAGTAAACAATTCTAAAGAATTCTTTTTATCATAGTGTCAGTATATTCCATAAACAGTTGAAAATTTATAGTAACTAAGACATTTATGACTTCCTGTAATTTAATTTTCACTTCCAACAAGGTTGCAAGCAACCACTATTAGAATTGGAAGATACTGGAAGAGAAAAGGTTTTATACAGCCAGATAATGATTAGCAGACGACTCAAAAGATGGTCAATTAAATGAAGCAGGAAAACAAGATGAAGGGAGCAAATTCTAAAAAACTGATGTTTTGAGAAAAAAAAATAGACGAATAAGACATTTTGGAGCACTTAAGAACAGTGACAGTATAAGGATGAGACTTTATTGAATGATGAGTAACTTGAGAATGAATTTTAGCAGATGGCACAAGAGATGAAAGCTCATTAGAGCAGTGCCTATTATAGTATTTTTAGAAAATAGAAAGAGAAGCAACAATTTGTGACATTTGATTTGTTGAAGGTTGATTGGTCGAAGTTTGGTTGCAAGAGCAGATCCAACTACATTTACAATGCGCTTTCGCACCTTGTCTAAAAGAGAAAGGGCCTCATTCAAAGATCCGCTCTAATTATTATATAAGAACAGCACTCCATACAAGTACGGATTTAAGATTGATAGAGATAAAAAATAGAATCTCGAGTAAGAAAGTAAAATAACGAACTGAGTTTATCTTTAAAGCCTTTGATCAGAAAGTACCAAAAATTACATAGAATCTTTGTAATTGAACATTTTATCATTAACTGTAGCGAAATGATACTGTAGTGCATGGGAGATTTCCGGATTTAAGTGCTTTTTGGACAAACTTTTGGAACATCATTTTAAAAAATTCCAGTAACAATTACTATACTATTTCCAGTCAGATTTGCCATCTTTAAGAATCTGTAGACTGTTTATTGAAGAAAAGGCTTTTCAGATAAGTTGGCAAAATTTTCTCAAAGCTAGTTGGCTCATAGCATTTACTATTTTTTTATTTAATATTTTTTTAATCTTAAGCAATATGGAAAAAATTTATGTTTTACAAAAAAAAGAAAATTTTTTTTTTTTTTACCAGGTAAAAACTGTTTTTACTTGTTATACAAACTAATAAATGGTACCATATAAAAATGATATTCAGAGACCCCAGAAAAGCCCCCTATTTTTTTATAATGAATGACTGCGCTTAAACATTTACAAAAAATGGCTAGAAAAGGGTTACAAAACTCAAAGAGTTAAAACAGAAGCAACTAGCCCCGGTCTTCCCTAATCTTTTTGCTTTATTAAAATTTCTAAAGAAGATAAAAAAAAAGAAAGAAAATAAGGAGAAATTAGCGAGAGAAGTCAGGTTTTCACTTTTTATATGCTTATATATGGACTTTTAAGGATATTTTTATTAAGGGTATTTGAACTTTTTAAAATAAAGTATGAGCTCTTTAAACAAGGTTGTAAAAAAAATTATAACTTTCAAAGAAAAAAAAAGACAGTCTTCTTGACTATAGTGGTTCTTTTTGCGTTGGTAAATGAATACAGTTTAAAAAAAATTGTAATTTAGTCAAATGACGAGTTTTTATTCCTTAAGTATAAAAAAATATATTTTGAAATTTTTTTTGTAATTATTTTTTGTAATTTTTATTTATATTTGTAAATAGAAAAAAACACGTTGTTTTAACATTATCAGCATAATAAAGCAGAATAGACAGCACCGTTGGGCTTGAAAGTGTTCGCACCACCTTTGAAATAGCAAACGTTATTAAACCAAGAATATCCTTTACAACCTAAGTTATAAATTCAATGATTATAACATATATGTATAACAATAAAAACTAAAAAGTAAAATATTTAGTAATATTATTTAGGTGAATTAAACATACATACCGGTCAAAGATTTGCAAAGTGGTTGGCAATCATTACGATGTCCAGCGTGTTTGTTACCAATATCATTTTCAACTATATCATAGAAATCGTAAAACCTCCAACCCCAAACTGTACAAGGAGCTGCAACGCTTTTAAATTCGAACGGGAATTTAAGCTAAGAAAAAAGTAATAAGAAATAATAAATTTTTTTTTAAGTTTTCAAAATTGATAATAATGATAATAAAAAAAATCTTTATCGAACACTGGCATGAAAAAGTAAAGGTTTCAACACTGACATGTAAGGTTTCAACACTAGCATGTAAAAGTAAGGTTTCCACACTGCAAAGCCGTAACCGTTGGGGTACGGGGGAACAAGGGGACCTAACCCCCAAAAATTATTAAACTATAATTATTAGAAAAAACATATATTTTTTAGGGCTTTCCCCTGCTATGTTTGGGTCTCTCCCTACCTCTAGGCCCCTAACTAGGATACCTAAAAAAAAAAATAAGGTTTTTAATATGTAATATGGCCCCCCCTAATATGAAAGTTGTGGTTACGGCTCTGCACTGGTATGCAAAAGTAAAGGAAGATTTCAAGTACTCGGTGTAGTTAACGCAATTTACAAAATATTTGAATACTTTTATTTGGAATTAGCATGGTTTTGTCAGCATATTATGTCCAAACAAGATCTTTAAATGTTATAATTTTTTTTTGCTTAAGGTTTTTATAATATTTAAAGAAACATTTCTTTTTTATATATAATTTTTAAATATATTTCACTCTTACTTCACTGAAATTACGCATAAATACCCCACAAAATTTTCAGTTGATATGTTTGTTATTCCAAGATCTTATTTAAAACTCAGCTCATTTCAAATTCAATACCGTGGACCATTTATATGGAAAAGTTTTTTGAAAAATATTATTAAAAATAAAACTCTTCTAAACTTCTCCCTAGAACAATTCAAAAAAGAATCTAAACGTTTTCTATTAGGAAAAAACTTCGATTTTAAACTTTTAAAAATAGTACCTAAAATAATTAAACTGAAAAAGTCATCACGACTCTCTTACTTTTGTCTTGATTTATTTCTTATCTATGAATAATATATATATATATATATATATATATATATATATATATATATATATATATATATATATATATATATATATATATATATATATATATATATATATATATATATATATATATATATATATATATATATATATATATATATATGTATCTATATATATATATATATATATATATATATATATATATATATATATATATATATATATATATATATATATATATATATATATATATATATATATATATATATATATATATATATATATATATGTATATATATATATATATATATATATATATATACATATATGTATATATATATATATATATATATATATATATATGTATATCTTATTATACGATTAACTACTTGTAATATATTGTGTTGTATTTTGTAATTTTTAACTTATTACATAAACTGAAGGCAACAATGTAAACGGGGCTTGGCAATAAGACAATATACGTCTCCTTCTTGCTCCGGCCATATATTATATATGTACGATTCTTATTGTAAATTTTATCAAACGGCAAAGAAAAAAAAAAAAAAAAAAAAAAAAAAACCTTTTTACAACCCGTAATAATGTATCTAAAGAACACTATTTTGGAGTCTTTAGATCAATTTCGCTTATCGACATTAACATGAATTTAGTTAAAATCTTTTTAAAAAGTTACTTAATTTACTACTGATCCTAGTTCTAATCGGTTCTGACGTATATTAACTATATATAATTGTCAAAACACAATACTTCAATCAATTTTCACAAAAAATACTGGAATTCCGAACAAGAAAAGAGCTTATAATTAGGGGAAGTGGGGGCACAGCCGCCCCCGTAACGTTTGAATAAATGTTATATGAAAATAAAAACAAAATGTGTTTTTTTTAGCAGTTTATTTCAATAGCCGCATCATTAAGTTTTAAATCGATGCATTTAAGAAAAAAATTGAACGGGTTTTGAAAATGTTATTACACAAAAATTACACTTAGTGAAAAAAACGGTTTTGCCCCTATTGTGAGGAACAACCGCACCCTCACAAAAATCGTTGGGGGTTCACTGTTCTAGGTACATTTTCTTTGCAATTGTCATAGCTCAGATTATTTGCTGATTTTGTTGCACGTTTGTATACTGTGTAGGCATTCTTTGTACTTACAATCTCAGTTTTCTTATTCGATATACTCTTAGCTTTATTTTAATTCAAAAACTCATTTATAAAAATTAAATAAAAAAATACGAAATCTAATTTCTAACATTTCAAAACAAAACTTTTCTAACATCTTTTCTAACAAAAAACAGAACTTTTCTAATAAAAAACAAACTTTTCTAACAAAGTTTTTTTTAAAAAAACTTTTCTAACAAATAACAAAACTTTTCTAACAATTTTTTTTCAAAACAAAACTTTTCTAACATCTTTTCTAACAAAAAGCAAAACTTTTTTAACAAAACTTTTCTTTCAAAACTTTTCGGACAAAACTTTTCTAACAAAAAAACTTTTCCAACATCTTTTTCTCAAAACAAAACTTTTCTAACATCTTAAACAACTTTTCTATCATCTCAAAGCAAAACTATTCAAGTTTACACATGAACGCATTCAAATGTGACGATTGTAATTGTTGTTGTTTGTAATTACATAACTTTGATAAATAATAAAAGTATGCGGTTGTGCCTCCTGTGCGTCTCTGCGGTTCTGCCCCAGTGGACAGTTTTTAGAAAGAATTCAGTTTCATAGCTTGCTTATAAGGTTATGTTGATATCAAAAATGGTATTTACTTGATGAAATAACGCTGATAACACATATCTTTAACACTAAAATCAAATATTGCTTTATCCTCAAAAAAAAAGGTCTTTAAAAGTATGATGTAAATATAATATTTTTTATCAAAATATGCATTATTATGCACAACTTCTCAGAAACATAGCAGGCACTCTTTTTGACATAAGAAAAATGAAGAAAACTGTTTTACTAATGTGTGGTAGTTTTTTTGCCAGATTAGATAATATTTTTCAAAGAGAAATGTTAAAAAACGGTTGTGCCTCCATATGCGGTTATGCCCCCACTTCCCCTATATATAATTGTCAATAAACGATCAGAACAGATCATATTGTTAAACTATAATGTTCATTTCACCTAAAAAAACGTATTAATATAAAATCTTATTTAAATTTGGACGAGCAATTGTGATTTTAAAATGATTTTTTTTTAAAAAAAAGATTCCACGGTCTGGGTTTTTTCGCCACAAACATTTATATTTTATTATACCGCAAAATTTATTATTTTAATTTTTTTCGTCTTTTCGTAATTCACAGACCATTTCACGGAAATATATCATTATCAACAAAATATCATACAGACGCTATAATATTTTAAAAGTGCCTTAACTACACCGAGTAGTATAGAGAAAGTATTAATTTTTTAACGTTTTATAAGCAAAACTTTTCTGCGTTAGAGTGAAACTGATATAAAAATAATTCACTCTCAATTGTTCTTTTACAAAATATTTGATTTTGCATTACCTGGCGATTTTCGTAGCCAATACCAAAATTTTTTTCTGTTTCTGAACCAGGCTTTTCACTTTCATCAAAAGCTTCAAATATATAGATAGAATCAGCAATGGTGTTCGTTGTTGCAAACCTTAATATGTGTTGAGTATATAATTTAGCATTTTCTATCGTTGTACCTGTAATTATAGAAAATTAAACAATAAAAACTGATTATATTTTACATGTAAGGCGGATTGACTGCCGGGACATTAACTTACGTTTTATTTACCTAATTTTGGCCTTACAATGATAGAGATTTCAATTTAATTTTTAACATTTAACACAATTCTTAATTAATTTTTTGAAAGACTTTATTATAAAAACTTCAGAGGCATTAAAGTTAGAAAATGCAAGGTTTTTTTGCTATGTAAAATGATTTTAAAAACAGCATAACCGTTGTATTGTGAACTTGTACAAGTTAGGTGTGTAATAATTCTTTTTAAAGTGGTTACAATTTGTATGGAAGATAATGTTATTAAAATACCATTCCTATTAAGGCGCATTATTGTTGACTAAACGGAACTCATTGATAGGATAATCGAAGCGCCCCCTTTAAAAGTCCCTGTTTATATATATATATATATATATATATATATATATATATATATATATATATATATATATATATATTTTTTTTTTTTTTTTTTTTTCTTTTTTTTTTTTTTCCTCAACGAACGCTGAAGTGAACGCACGCTTTTTCGCTGCTTAAAGAAAATAAAATAGAAAATCGTTAATAGTATTAATAGTTACTTATATTATATTAATTTATACTTATTGAACATGTGTATCACACTTGTTGAAGTTAAAAAAATAATAACGGATATGTTTATGAATTTTAAGATCGAGACGGAAGAAATGCTTAAGCAACAAGAAAATACTTTCATCAACATAGTTAGTTGTAACACAAAAATATTAAATGATCATTTTGACAGAGTTGAACTTAACATACTTCAAAATTAATAAAAAAATAAAAACCGCCATTGATTGTCTTGCAAAAGAAAATCTGGCAAACATCAAAATACAAAATAACAACAATGAACTTATAAAAATAAATAACAAACTCAAAGAGATTGAGGATAGGTCAAGGCGTAATAATTTAAGAATCGATGGTGTCCTTGAAAATGACAATGAAAGCTAGGCTGAATGTGAAAAGAAGGTAAAAGAAATATTCAACAACATATTAGGAGTCAAAAATGTAACCATTGAAAGAGGGCATAGAATAGGCAAAGTAGTTCACAACAAACATAGAACAATAATACTAAAACTTTTTGATTTTAAAGATAAAACTGAAATTCTTAACAACTCTTCCAAATTAAAAGGTAAAAACATTTTTATATATGAAGATTACTGCAAGGAAACAAATATTATACGAAAGACACTACATGAAAAAATGAAAATAGAAAGGCAAGCTGGCAAATGCGCGTATATTTCATACGACAAACTTATTGTTCGCGATTGGAATTCCAAAAAAAAGTAATATAGGGGAAAGTGGGGCAACATGGCGAACGTTTTGAAAGCCCTGAGTTGTTGCAAAACTATAAGTCGTGAAGCCATAATACTTTCTCAGTATGTTTATGTTATTAAATTCTTACATTGCCTGCAAGAATTTTCAGTTTGCAAATATAGCAATTTGAAATAAATATTAAAATAAAATGTTCATAAATTTGTCACCTGGTCACGTGACCGGGGCAAGATGACTTATTATGCAATTTTTACCTCCAATTTTAAAAAATTTTTAAAACTACCAATAACTCTAACTAAAGTAAAAAATAAATAAACACAAATTGCAAAAAATTACTTTTAAAGAAGTTAAACTTGAAGAGCACCATCCATTATAAGAAACCGAAAGTGAGGAATTTTTTTTAAGGCGCTTAAAGTAAACTTATGTGTATAAAATTGCGTTAATAATATTTCAAAAAGCCAATTAGTGTTTTAAAATACAAGATGCAAATACAGTTTTGTTTTCACCCAATTTTAAGTTTTTTTGTTGAGTTGTTATATGAAAACCCATCTTGCCCCATTCGCCATGTTGCCCCGTTTTCCCCTATAATCTTTTAAATTTTTATTGTATTTTTACATAAACTTATTTGATTTTATTAATTATGGCATCAATAAACGATTTCGAAACTTTTACTTTTTTTGATAATGTTTTTTCATTGCGCGAAAACATTAACAAAGACATTAATTATTTTATGAAATTAACAAAGAATGTGCTTATTAGCAATAAAAACTTATATCAAATTAGAATTTTTGAGGCTGGAGCTTTTCCATTAATAAATTGCCCGACGAGAGTGACAAAATACTCAGCAACTTTACTAGACAATATCATTACAACAGACATCTTTAATAATGATATAAAAAAAGGAATCTTAAAAACAGATATCTCGGATCACTTTCCTATTTTTCTGACTATACCCACTAATCAAGCAAATGTAAAAAAACCTAACAAAATCTTAACTAATCGTATTTTTCATCAATCAAAAATTGAATTGTTTAAAAACCAACTATCGCTATTTCATTGGAAACATTTAAACTTTAATGATAACGCTAATAACTTTTTTGAAAATTTCTGTAAAGCATTTTTTTCGGTTTACGATGCTAACTTTCCTAATGTTACTCATACATCAAAAACTAAAAACATAAATAATCCTTGGGTTACTAAAGGTTTCAAAAAATAATCAAAAACTAAGCAAAAGTTATATATAAAATACCTAAAAACAAAAACTCCTGCAAGCGAAAAAAAATACAAGTAATATAAAAATTTATTTGAAAAAATCCGGAAAAGTTTAAAAAAAAACTACTATTCAAATTTGATTAATGAAACAAAAAATAACGTAAAACGCACTTGGCAAATACTAAAAGAAATAATTGGGAAACAAAAAACATGCTCAATTTTTATGCCACACATGCTTAAAATCGATAACAAAATTTTATACAATCCACAAATTGAGCCTATGAGAGTAAAAGTGGACCAAGTCCAATTTTTTTCAAATGACCCTTATGTATGTAAAACTGCTAAAAATTTGCTATATTTTTAGAGCAAAAATGGACCAAGTCCATAACACATTTATTTCTTATTCAACAGAGGGCAGCACATTTTTACTCTAACAATAAATCACCAGGTATAGAGAGTAACAGTGGACCAAGTCCATTGATAGTGCATTAATGTAAAAAATCAAGATTCAAGACCACATAAACTACAAATTTTCTTAGAATTATTATTATTATATTAGAACAAGAATAACATTTGTACAGGTAAGATGCTTTAAATTAATATCTGATTATGGTTTTATATTAATATAGTGAAGTATACAGCACTTTCACACTTTATAAAGTGACAAAACTGAAATAGTTTGGTGAGCGATAATATAAGATTTATTCAATTGCTCTCAGCAGGAATATAAATATTGATTTGTTAGACAGTAGATATAATGATCTGTCACTACCAAAGTTACAGCCTCTTTAGAAAGGTCAATTTTGTGGCTTTAATAACATCTAGCTAGGGGAGCACTTGCATGCATGTTGTGTACATGTACATTATTCTTTCTAATAATATTCTGAATGTATGTAATATTTAAAAAATATTTATTGTAGAATAGTGTAAACATGCATTCACGAGCCGCACACATGGTGTCACTGGCATTGATAAAGTGCAAGAAGGTTCAGAAATCTCTAGCTACAGGTACAACAATTGCAGATCCTAACTTAGCAGCAGATATACAGACATAACGTTCTACATTAGCAGCTGAATCTCCAATTGTAGCCGATAATTCACCGGTTGTAGCAGTTGAATCTCCGATTGTAACAACTGAATTTCCGATTGTAACAACTGAATCTCCGATTGTAACCAATCAACGCCCTCGAAAACGAAAGCGTTGTGTAACGAATTGGAAGAAAAATGTGATTAAGCGCTTACGAAATACAGGTAGCGAACATGTAAAGCATGGCGGAACGTTACAAAAAGCAAAGAAATTAAACGAACATTATTTAATAAATCACAGTTGCAAAAACAAATGTGCTGAAAATTTGACTTTAGAGCAGACTAAAACTCTGTTTGAAAATTTCTGAAAATTGGGAGATTTTGATGCACAAAATCTGTTTCTTGCTGGCTGGGTGAAACAATCAACAGTAGAACGTAGACGACCAAGAGTAAGAAAAAACAAAATTACGAAAAATGAAAAAAAACATGCAAAGGATTTTGCACGAGTATACTCTGTGTTTGCAGATAATAAGCCCGTTACTGTTTGCAAACCATACTTCTTGGCGATATTTGACATAACAGCGGTCGACTAAATCGTGCGTTAGTCAACCAACGGGAGAATGGTGGTGTGTCACGCAAAGATGGACGAGGAAAATATGATCACAAGACACAACGCATTCATGAGGAACACATCACTCGCATTAAAGATCATATTCACATGTTTCCCACATACGAAAGTCACTATACTAGAAGTCACAGTGCATCTCGCCGCTTTCTACCTGCTCATTTGACGGTATCCACTATGTACGACATGTATAGAGAAAAATGCATACAGGATTCAGTCGAACCCCAAAAAGAGTGGAAATTTTGGGACATTTTTAATCATGAATTTAACTTGACGTTCCATCAGCCACTAAAAGATACGTGCAAAAAATGTGACATTTTTAAAACAGACATTGAAATAGAAAAAACTGAACACAAAAAATCTCAACTAAAAGCAGCACATAAGATTCATTTGCGCAAAGCAGAGAAGGCGCGTCAATCCTTAAAACTAGAAAAAGAAAATGAAGACAATAAACATGCACCTTTTTATTTTGACCTGCAAAAGGTCATGTCATTGCCTTGCCTTACAACCAATGAAGTTTATTATTGCCGGCAATTATCAGTGTATAATCTAGGCATTCATGACCTTAAAAATGACAATGCAGTGATGAATGTATGACATGAGGGAACAGCCTCACAAGATGCAGGTGAGATCGGTTCATGCTTATTGGAATATTGTCAAAATCTGGCAAATAGGGATACTACGTCTATTACAGCATTCAGCGACTCGTGCGGCGTCCAAAATCGAAATATAAAAATTGCACTCTTTGACGCAGACGACAAGTATTGAACTAGTGAATCATAAGTTTATGGTCTCTGGGCATTCTTATTTGCCTAACGATGCAGATTTTGGAATAATTGAGAGAGCAAAACCAAAATCCACAGAGATCTTCGTGCCAGAACAGTGGTACAAATTGATCGAGAACTGCTCTATGAAGAAGCGCTTCAGTGTTGCAAGATTAAGCACTGATAATTTCAAGAGTGTGGAGCCCTTATTGAAATTAATTACAAATCGGAAAGTGGATGAGAGTGATCAGAAGGTTAACTGGCTGGATATGCAATGGCTGCAACTTAGAAAGAACAAGCCATACAAACTGTTCTTTAAATACTCTTTAGATGATGAGGCATCATTCAGTTTCATTTCGCTAGCGAAACGCGGACGTCAAACGAATCTTAGTGAAGTGAGTTTGGCTCCACTGTACTGTGGAGCAACAAAACTGAGCAAAGAAAAATACTCAGATTTAATGAAACTGTTAAAGTAAAAAAAAATATTCCTCCCATCTATCATGACTTCTATTAAAAGTTGGAACACAGCGGTCACAACAAGGATGTACTAGAAGATGAACTGCTCGATGACAGCGGCGATGATGATCAGTAAATTCGTGTGGTTTTTATTGTACTGTTTGTAATAATGAGGACTTTTTTTGCCGATAATTAGTAAATAGTAATTGTGTTTTTTTACAACATAGTATGAATTTGTACTACTTGTCTTAATTTGAATTGCTATTGTAAACGAATAATATGAAATTTGTTCATGATTTTACACTAAAATGATTTAGAGATTTGTTGATTATGTTTAGAGAAAAAATGGAACAAGTCCATAACTATTATTATATTATTAATAATTATTCAAAAATTTATTTGTGCATTTCACATATCTTGTTGTCTAAGAAAAAAGATTTAAAATGATACTAGACATCAATAATATTATAATATTATTGTAATTTAGTATTATGTAATATAGTATTATAATATTATTGTAATATTACATATGGCTGATTTATAATATATGCAAACACTAAGAACGCTTATTTCTAACAATATAGAAATATGGACTTGGTCCACTTTTACTCTTATGGGCTCAATTATAGCTACTGAGTTTAATAAATATTTTGTTGAAATTGGTCCAACCCTATTAGATAAAACTCCAATAACCAAAACTTCTTTTTATGATTTTTTAGCACCTCTTGATAAAGGCATTTGCTCAGAGTTTGAAAAAGCTTTTAAAACCTTAAAAATATATAAAGCAACTGGGCCTGATGAAATAAACGGAAATACAGTTATAGATTGCTATGAACAAATTAAAAATATTCTTTTTGAAATCTACAAAGCATCCATCCATCAAGGAATTTTCCCTGAGCGCTTAAAAATTGCTAAAATTATTCCAATTCACAAAGAAGGCGACAAATCCAATATCAATAATTACCGCCCCATCTCTATCCTATCTGTATTCTCCAAAATCCTAGAAAGAATTATGTTTAACAGAGTTAATAATTATTTTAATTACAATAACCTACTATACAATAATCAATTCGGTTTCAAAAAAGATAGTTCAACTGAGCATGCCATTATTCAATTTGTACGCAACATCTCCAAATCCTTTGAAAAAGCTCAACATACATTAGGTATTTTTATAGATCTATCAAAAGCATTTGATACGGTTGACCATGATATTTTAATACAAAAAATTAAATATTACGGTTTAAACAATAATACTTTAGCGTGATTTAAAAGCTATTTAACAAATCGTAAGCAAGTAGTCTATAGTAATAATGACGTTCAAAGTGGATCCTTAATTATAACCTGTGGTGTTCCACAAGGTTCTATTCTTGGACCGCTGCTATTTCTTATATTTGTCAATGATCTAAACAAAGCCTCTAACCTGATGAGTATTACTTATGCCGATGACACGAACTTATTTCAATCCCACACTGATGTTTACAAACTTTTCTCAAAAACTAATAATGAACTTATAAACATCTCTAAATGGTTTAAATGTAATAAATTAACGTTAAATACTAACAAGACTAAAATGGATTCTTTTTCATTCCTTCTCAAAAAAGCGTTCTTTACCAGATATTATGCCTCAAATTTATATTGATGAAACTCTAATAAAAAGAGGTTCTGTTATAAGATTCCTAGGTGTTTATCTTGATGAGAATATTACTTGGAAAAACCATATTAATCATATAACCACCAAGGTATCTAAAAATATTGGCATTTTGTATAAAGCCCGACCTTACTTAAGCAAAAAATGTCTTACGCAGCTCTATTCATACACAGCGATATAAACTACGCAAATTTTGCATGAGTTAGTACCGAAAAAAGTAAACTACAACGTCTATATCGCCAACAGAAACATGCGATTCGCGTGATTAATTATGTGGATCGCTCTACACATTCAAAGCCTTTCTTTGATGAAATGAAAATACTTAATGTCTACAAACTTAATGTTTTCAATGTTTTATGTTTTACTTATATGGGGAAAAACAATTTATCCCTACCTGTTTTTAACGACCTTTTTACATTAAAACTTACTAATAAGTACTCACTAAGAAATAAAGATTTGCTAAATGAACCATTTTGTAGAACAAAATTTAATAAATTTAGTATTAATTATAGAGCACTTTACGTTTGGAATAAAATAGTTCTGTCTAATTTTGATTCTTTTATCCGTTTTTCTGTTTTGAAAAATGAATTAAAAAATTTTATTCTTGCTATGGATGACATATTAAGTTACTATTAGCTTGAAGTATAAACTTGATTTATGAGATTTATAATAATATTTATATTAATAAATTTATTTTCTTTAATTTATAACAGATCTATAAAATTTATTATTATGGATTTTTATAACAGATTTGTGAGAATTATTATTACAGATACGTGATTAATATTATGAATTTATTATATATATTTATTATTACGGGCGTTTTTGGATTTATATTTTCAGTTTTTATAGTATGATAAAATTGTAAAGGTTCTGATGATAAGATCAGTATATATATTGATATGTATATATATTTACATTTATATATATATATACATATATATATATATATATATATATATATATATATATATATATATATATATATATATATATATATATATATATATATATATATATATATATATATATATATATATATATATATATATATATATATATATATATATATATATATATAATATATATATATATATATATATATATATATATATATATATATATATATATATATATATATATATATACCCAAGAAAAAAGTTCTATAAAATTTTATATGAACTTTTGAAACATATGGCCTATAGAAAATCTATAGAATTTCTATAGAGTTTCTGTTAACTTCTATAAAAATTCTCATTGAAATTTTTTTTCAACTTTTGTTTTTATAGAAAAAAAAAGTTATATAGGAATTTCTATAGAAATTAATATACATTCTATAGAAATTCTATAGAACTTTTATCGGCCATATGTTTCAAAAGTTTATAGAAAATTTTATAGAACTTTTTTTCCTGGGTATATATTCAAAACAATCTTTAAAATGAGAAACAGCCCAGGAAAAAAAGTTCTATATAATTTTATATAATATTTTGAAACATATGGCCTATAGAAATTCTATAGAATTCTATAGAATTTCTATAGATTTGTCAACTTCTATAAAAATTCCTATTGAAATTTTTTTTCTACTTTTTTTTTATAGAAAAAAAGTTTTATAGCAATTTCTATAGAAATTAATAGATATTCTATAAAATTCTATACAGTTTCTATAGGCCATACGTTTCAAAAGTTTATAGAAAATGGAATTTTTGTTCCTGGGAATAAATAGGTTTTTACATCAAAAAATAAAGTTATAGATTACTTTCATCAAAAATGATCTATAGTTTCACAAAACCCAACGCGTTAATTGGTTATTAAATTTATAATGAAAATTCATAAGTTCTTCAAAATTCTGTTCTTAAAAATTATTGACCATAAATCAAAGTAAAATTAAAGGAATCGATTAGTTCCGAGGCTCTATAAAAACCCTCGGAATTTTATTATGGTTTAATTCAATCATAAACAAGAATTATTTTTTTTAGTTTAATTCATCTCCCCAAGTTGTTTAATTTAATTCCAAATCTTTATAGAAAGCGTCGGAATTTTATTTTAGTTTAATTCATTCAAAACCAAAACTATATTTTTTTTAGTTTAATTTACCTCCCAAAGTCTGAAAATTATTCTCCCCAAGGCTTAACATTCATCTCCCCAAGGCTCATCATTTATCTCCCCAACGCTCAATATTTGAGGTGGCTACTCTTTATTTTATTATTTATTTTTATTAAAACCTAAAGTAAATTAAAGTAAAATTTTTATTAAACATAAAGTAAATTTTTAACTTTTTTTACCTTTAGGCCCACCCTTTGAGGGCCATCCTGTTTCTCCAACAATTATAGGCACTGAACCAGCTCCAATCTTTTTAAGTGCTTCCCGACAACCTAACAACATAGCTTCAAACAAAGATTTGTCTTTACCAAGAGCAAAGTTTAATGGAATGTTATTATCACCAATATAAGTAAAATAAGGGTAGATGTTAATGCTGAACACTGATCCAGTATTTTTAATCGTATTGACTATGTCCCTCATTACCCCAATTACATCAGGATGAAATACAGTGTTCTCTACAGGGTACGTGTTGATCAAAACAACAGCACTAAATGGAACCGTCACCTAAATATTATGAAAAGAATAAATATTTTTTTAAAAACTTTATTGCATTATCACACAGTAATAAAATTATAAATGAATTTTAATCAACTGTAATTTCATTAATAGTGGTTTTTTAAAGTTAGTTTTTTGTTTAAAGCACTCTAGTTTTTAGCAATTAATACTATCGTCTGTAAAAATTCTTTTTATTTTAATATTTTTTCTCAGTAGTTTTTATAAAAATTAATTTTCAACTAGAAAATAAAAAAGGAACCTTAATACGTTCTTTTAAGCCATTATCGTTGAGAAGTTTTACCATACTGTTAAAAGCAGGAAGAAGATGTGGCATAGCCAAAGCACGGTTATCTTCATGAAACGGCTCGTTTCCAATTGCTATCTAAAAGACAGTAAAACAAATACAATTAATTTTGACATATCTCCTGCGACGCGAAAGAGAACAACATCCTATTTATAACAAGTAATATTAGGATAGAGAAAATAACTACGCTTCGCGTGACAAAAGATCTAATGGATGAAAGCCAATTAGAATAGTAACAACGAAAGGTTTTTTTGATTTTATTTTATTTCGATTTGATGCTCATTATCAATTATGCTTACAATTTCTTTTTATTCACTTAAGTGTATTCACTTTCCTTTAAATTAGCCATATTTTTCTAACAATTACTGTTCTCTTTAAAACCTAACTAATGTACCACCTAGTCTAACAGTGGAGGTCTAATAATGTCTAATAGTGGCAAGTGGAACACCTTTACTATCGAACAGAAAAAAACAACTTTGATAAAAAAGATATATATATATATATATATATATATATATATATATATAAATATATATATATATATATATATATATATATATATATATATATATATATATATATATATATATATATATATATATATATATATATATATATATATATATATATTAAAAAAACTTTTTAAAACACAGCACTGTTTAAAAAAAGTAGAAATTTAGTTAGTGTCATTAAATTACTTCATTTCCTCGCTCCCCCTTGTCAAAAAATGTCAAAATGTTTTTGATTTTTTAAATCTGACTGTCAATGCAGATCTCATACTTAGTGGTTGGACATTATTATTTAGCGATAAACTACTGTAGTTGTTTTTTCAGCGACTGTTATTCCCACTTTCCGAATATTTCCTTTTACATAACTAGCATAATCTCTTTTTCTAACACGTTTTATTCTTAAAAGTAAAAAGGTTAATTTTAATAGTGCCATAATATATCATCTATGTCATCAATATCACCAATTTTTTTTACTACAACTTGTGGTTGAATAGGCGGCAATTTGGACACAATTTTTGACCTGGACAAATCACTTTATTTAGTAACTATAAAAGACAGTTTGCAGTCTCTAGGTCAATACATCTCAAACTTTTAAATTAGCAACAATTGGTCTTTACAAAAGGATTTAAACAATAGCGCAGCAAATGCGTGTATTTAAGCAACATCAGTGTTATATGAAGGAAACAAAATTTTTGAATAAATTATAAGTGACAATCAAATTCTATTCTTCAATCAAATGTTTGAGCAAAAGTCAATAAAACCCATTTTTTATGAATAAATACTTAAATGACATAAATAAACTTCTGTCAAATTTTCCAAAACAACAAGTACTTAAGTTTTGTTCAACAGACATGTCATATTGTAGATATATTTAAAAGAGCTCTTGTTTTATTTTCTATTCTAACTTTTTTCTTCTGATAATTCTAATCAATGATAAACTTATGTAAATTAAACTCTTGAATTTAATATAGAGGGATTTGTCCGTAAAATAAAAATATAACTACATACTAAAATTAGCTCTGCACGACTAAAGTTAATTTACGGACCCTAATATCGCTTTTAAAATATCAAAGACTTTGTAGATCTAACTTAGGTCATTTATACTAAATGGTTTATAGAAAAAATCTCTCCAAAATAGTTTTCATTGTTTCTAAAAGTGTGAAATAAGCTCTTTTCAATGATACAATTGAAAAAACAAAAAAAAATTGTCCACATTATGTTTTAGGGGTTCAAATACATTTTATTTTAGGGTATTTCACTTTTGTCGCCATATTGGTTCATAATAATTCAACAATTTTGAAAAAGCTGGTTTTATATCCATATTATCATATTAGTAATGGTGTTGAATTTGTGATGATATTTGTTGAACCATAGACTTAATTCTTTGTATTAAATAGTTTAAAATTTGTATTAAATAGTTTTGCAATCTACACTTTCGATTTACTCAAAATTCACGTTTTTAAGATATATTACTCTTTCATTGCAAAAATATAAAATTCCGAAAACACAGTTTTTAGCTACTGACCGTTATTAAAATTTGGGTAAGCATTACAAAAAGTACCACAAAATGCGAAATAACAAACATTTTGACCTGAAACTTTGGTAATATTTATGAAACATGTTTAACTACATACTGAAAAAATTTTTATTAAAATCTGAGATAGTCGAGTGGGGATGATTTTGAAAATTGGACCGTTTGATGTGGAATGACTCTTATATTCGCAATAACTTGAGATAACAAAACCAAAGTATTCAATTAAAAAAAAATCCGTAATTGGAGTCCAAGAAGTCTATTATTTTTGACTTTAGAGTTCGGAGTCCCGTAGTCAAAAATAATCAATAGAACTACGTATTCTTGGTAACTGTCTCTTCCAATATATTATATACAACATGTGGGATTCCTCAGGGCTCTACACTTTCACTCCTTCTATTTCTAATTTTCATTAACGATCTCCCTAATGCCTCAATTAGACGAGTATTTTATTATAATTTTATTTGATGATGATACAAATATCTTTTCATCTTATAACTCCATAACAATATTAATTTAAAATATTAATATTAAATTAACGAAAGTTTTTCACAGGTTTAAATTGAATAAGTCACTAAATGTTAATAAAACAAATTGCCCACTCATCCAGTTTGTAAATAAAAGTTTCTCATAAAATGCCTTTACATTTTATAAACGTAATTGAAATGAAAAGAGAAATAAATACTAACATTTATGTAAATATATTAATGAAGACCTTACCTGGAAATATTTAGAACGAATTATGTAATACCTCCCTAAAAAGATTTTCTTGTAAAATTTACAAGTTGTAAAATAATAATATTAATTAATGGGTTGTTAAATTGTTCAACTACAAAGTTACAAGTAACGTTTAAATTCATTGACTAATTATATTCCTTATCATTCTTGCATAAAGTAACATTTTTTATTTTAGCTTGTAACCTTTTGTGATGTCAAGGAGGGTGGGCTTTAATTTTATGGAATTGGGAAAGTAAAATAAAAAAATAAAAAAAAGTTAATAAAAACTACTACTTTATATTATACAATTATTTTTAAATTTAAAAAGCTTAAAAATCAATTACTAGTTTAATGATTCCTTGATATCTTTTAACTTGACCAAGAACCCAGTTTTTGTAATTCAAATCGTTGTACATTTTCCACAAATCAGAATTTGGAATTGCGACTGTGACATCTACATTTCCCTAAAGTTCGTTTTATCAGTTAAAATACCTTTTTTAACAGTTAAAAATTATTTTTACAAAATCTAAAAAAAAGTTAGATTATTTTAATAATTTTTTTTTTTCATTTTTTCACCTTCAATTAAATAACTTTTTTGATTTAATTGTAACTTTTGTTATTAAGCTTTGGTAATATACTGATAATTTTTTTTTAAATAAAAATAAAAGTTGACTTTTATTTTATTCTTTTAAGTATTGAAAAAAATCTAAAACTATAGTTATAGATTTTTTTTCAATACTTAAAAAAGTAAATTAAAAACCAACTTTTAATTTTAGAAATTTAGAAATGAAGAAAGATGAAGAAAGCAAATTTTTTTCAAACTTTTGCTATTGATAATTAACTGAGAGTTTTTGCTTAGGTTTTTTTTTTTTTTTTCAATTTTTATCGTTAGTTTTCTATATATAGAAAACTATATATAGAAATAAAGCTTATATATAGAAATATAGTTTTCTATATATAGAAAGTTTTCTATATATAGAAAACTAACGATAAAAATTGAAAAAAAAAAAAAAAAAAAAAAAACCTTAAGCAAAAACTCTCAGTTAATTATCGGGAGCAAAGTTTGAACAAAATTTGCTTTCTTCATCTTTCCTCATTTCTAACAATGAGCGATCTTATGGCCCAAAATTGATTCAACAAATGTTATCTTAATTTGGCTGTGAAATGCTATAACCTCACCCGTTGTATTTACCAAGATAGGTATTTTTGTAAACAAAACAGAACTCAAAGCTTACGTGAGCGACTTAAAGTAGTGGCAGTTTTAAAGTTGGCCTGATTATTCGGTTGCGGAAAAATCTTAAGTGGCTCCAAAGAAGGCTAATGTGATGTTAAAGCTTGTCTTTTTTCACAACTTTTTATAACAATTCAATTTTAAAAATGTGATTTTTGAGAAACAGAAAAGCAGAATGTCGAATATATCTTGTGTTTTATTTTTCTAAAAACGGTTAAATTATATATTAAAATACTTGTGGTACATTTTATGAAACAAAACCTTTTAAACAAAAACATGCGGAAAATAATTTATCCCTGATGACATCAACATCACTAAATATCTAATAGAGAGTGTTTTACACAGTTTTAAAGTTTATTTTAGCTTTATGTTATATGACATAGTATAATAATATAAATATAAGTATGTTTTATGCAATTTTAATTTTATATTAATTTTATTTTTTTATAAAATATTAGACTTAAATTAAATATAAATTATTTTACATTTTATATTATAAATAAGACTAAAATAGGGAATAAAAAGCCAAAAAATTAGTAATTATTCCTTTTTTTTAATGCATGGGTGTATAGGCATCGTTTTTTTATGCATGGGTGTATAGGCGTGAGATAAATTACTTTTACTTTATAAGATAACAAAATTTCAAAAGAACCCATGTTAGCTATATGTTTAAAATGTAAAAGAAAAAACAAAATTTATTAGAATAAACAAAGCTAAAAAAAAAAAAAAGTTTTATAGAGGTTTTACAATAGTTTGGGGGATCACAATAAAAATAAGTTTTCAAACATGAAAGGAAATAACTTAAATTCAAAAGAGGGTTTTTAAAGTTGCATTTACAGAACTATGGAAATTAAGGATAAGAAAAAGTAACCCATTTGTCCCATATTTGTGGTGAGTTTGTTAGTTTTTTTAAAACATCAAATAATATCAGAGACCAAATCTGAATGTTATTACAGTATAGTTGTTGGGTAGTCTCTCTTTTCAAACCTCTATTTCGACGTTGAGCATCCTTGACGTCCGAAAACCGGGATTTTAGGAAATAGGCAAATTGGGATACATAGGGATAGACGCTTCGCAGTGTACATACATTTACTGATTTACTTAGCCATAGGCACAGTGAGTGTACATAGAGTGTGCATACATTAACTGAGAGTTTAGGTTTAGGCAGGTTGTCTTGAACTAAATGAATCATCTTTTTCATGTTTGCCGTCTTAAAGGAGACCGTCGGAATAGAGGTTTGATAAGAAAGCTTACCTAGTTGTTGACTCTGCTCGTAGAGATTAAACAAATAAAATGTATGCATGTTAATGAGTCGTTCAGAGTTTTTTTTTTTTCATTTATGTCAAAAGAATAAAAGAAAAGGAAAAGGCTAAAAATGATTGATACTTACAAATGACATAAACGTTAATATATTCAATTATGAATTTAAACAGCTTTGGTTACATGAAGAAAATTAAACACGCCATAAACAATATATCAGAAATCTATAAAGCCGTAAAGAAAATTTCATGTCATATTCAAATGCCGAATTTTATTTTATCTTTTTCCCAATTTTTTATTGAAACATTACAATGTTAATTTTCCGCCACAAATCAAAAAAGAATAAGGTAAACTAGTTTGTCAATATTTTTCATTGTTTCTATAGATTTAATCGTTGAAATTTTAAAATTTAAATTAAATTTTATGCTAAAATATATGTTGTGTGGTTGAAAAGACTAACATTTGAATGAACTCTTTTTATATAAATTTTCTTTTAAACATGTAGTGGAAGGTTCAAGAAATTTTTTTTAACAAGTTATTAAATATATAATAATAAATCTGCAACATTCTTATATTTACCTTGATTTAGAAAAACTTTTTTTGTCTAGTTTGACTTTGAAGGTCTACTTCTTTTCGCGCAAGTTAGCAAACAGTATTCTACTAAAATGGAGCGTTTATAAAAAATTCAATCTTGTTTAATTATTAATCTTTTTTTATTAAAAGTTCAAAGGATTTCAATTAATTTTTGTATACACCAAAAGCTTTAATAAATACAAAAAAATAAAAGTGATATAAAATGTTTGCAGTCCAATTAAATAGTAAAAATATATGAAAATAAAATATAAAATAAATTTACATATAATAAGATTATATAACTAAAACATTTTTTAAGATTAAAAACAAACAAACTAAAGTATTCAAAAGTCTATAAATATGTTTCCAAAAAAATAGTAGATATAAGAAACAAGTACGTAGCAGAAACAGGTATTAGAAACAGGTGCATATCAGAAACAGGGACATATGAAAAACAGATACATATGAGAAATAGGTGCTTAGGAGAAACGGGTACATAGGAGGTGTGAAATTTGAATATAAATGGTTTGAATTATAAAAAGTTATAAAAAAAATATTAAAATAGTAAAAATTTTTAAAAAATAACCATTAAAAAATTTGCATAGTAAGTTATTGTAACATAATATATAGAGTATGTTTTTATAAACGTTTTAACGTTTTAAATTAAATTCTTTTATTGCCAGCATGAATTTTCAGTTTGCAAATATAACAATTTGAAATAAATATTAAAATAAAAAGTTCACAAATTTGTCATCTGGTCACGTGACCGGGGCAAGATGACTTATTATGCAATTTTTACCTCCAATTTTACAAAATTTTAAAAACTGCCGATAACTCTAACTAAAGTAACAAAAAATAAACACAAATTGCAAAAACTACTTCTAAAGAAGTTAAACTTAAAGGACACCAACCATTATGAGAAACCGAAAGTGTGGAATTTTTTTTTAAGCGCAAAAAGTAAACTTATTTGTATAAAATGGCGTTGATAATATTTCAAAAAACAAATTAATATTTTAAAATACAAGATGCAAATACAGTTTCATTTTCACCCAATTTTAAAATTCTTTGTTGAGTTGTTATATGAAAACCCATCTTGCCCCATTCGCCATGTTGCCCCGCTTTCCCCTATATATATATATATATATATATATATATATATATATATATATATATATATATATATATATATATATATATATATATATATATATATATATATATATATATATATATATATATATATATATATATATATATATATATATATATATATATATATATATATATATATATATATTATGTAAGTTATAACAATTTATAATAATTAAGATATTTTAATATATAACAAGTAAGTTATTATAATATATAATAAATAAATTATTAGAATATAAAATAAGTAAGTTATTATCACATATATTAAGTAAATTATTATAAAGGAAGTGGTTTCTGTTTGCCAAAATCGTAAAAGGTAGCAGTATCGCTTTCAAATATTTGGTAGCAATGCACAGCTCTGTTGGTTCCTTACATTTTTTAAAAATACTTTCAATTTTTATAAAAAGCGGTTCAAAAATCAGAATTTATTTTAAAAATAATTGCTTTAAATTTGGAGTTGAACTAGCAATATTTCAACTATATATGTTTAATAAACTTGTAGAATTTAGAACTATCCTTTGCCCAAAACTTTAAAAAAAGACTATTTTAGTAAAAAGAATAATTACCTTTCCGTATATTAATTCAGCTTGATAAAGCCAATCTGGATTAATTGACCAAGTTTTGATTTTGCGAATACCTAGATTTTTCAGTACTGTTAATGCATCTGGATAAGGTCGGGAACTTTTTCCAAATCCAAGTCCTATACCTATATCTGCACCAAACAACTCAGAAGTATGCCAACTTAAAAACAAGCTTATTATTAAAATGTGCATTGTCTTTAAAATTAATTCTAAAATACAAAAATGGGTTTTTGGTTAATACATTTCAAATTTATATACGGTAAATCATTACACTGTTTCATTTGAATTTTTCATAGAAATGAAATTTAACCACGTAATGGAAATGGATGTATTTATATAAACTGCTCTTTATATACACTTTAAAAAATGTCTCGCCTAATTGCTTAATTAAAATTTCATGCCACAAAACTCTTTTAATCACGCGACTTGAGAATTAAAGCTGTTACGTAACGCTTAGATATTAAACTTTGCGTGACAGAATTATGCTTCAACGCTACAATTTTTAGGCCATACTTAGATAAATTATAGATCAAAAAAATTAGGCTTAGTGACATATGACATGATGGTGTCTTAGATTTCACGTGACAAATAAATTTTTTACACAACAACAATAACATTATTCATAAAAACACAACCATAGAATACCAGATATTATTTTACAAATTCAAATTATTTTTTACAATTTAATTCTCATTATATTTTCGTAACAATAGTCAATAATTTTTTTTTAATTCTCCTTAACAATATAACTTTTTTTTTAATTTTTTATAACAATAGTCAATAACTTTTTTTTAATTTTTCATAGTAATTGTAAATAATCCATTGGGAGTATAATAGTCAATAAGTTTTTTTTTTTTTTTTTTTTTTCATAGTATTTGTAAATAATCTATTGGGAGTATAATAGTCGATAACTTTTTTTTTAATTTTTCATATTAATTGAGAGTATAATTATAAAGTATATGCGATTGTCAATATTATTGTACTGTGTATTGATAATATATTGATAATAGCATTGTAAAATGAGATTGAAATAACTATGTCGCGAGTATTTTAAAAAATTATGCTTTAACTTAAAAGATTTTTATACACAGGGGAAAAGAATAATCTTATAATAAAAAATGCAAACGTAGTTTGCATTTTTTATTATAAGATAACGTAGTTTGCATTTTTTATTATAAGATTATTCTTTTCCCCTGAGTACAAAAATATTTTTCCCTAATATATAAAAACACTCCATGCATTTTCTACCTTTTTAATTAACAAAAAATATAGAGAATACTTATATTTGCAGTTGATAAGAACAACATAACCAAATTTTTTTTGCACAATGTTTTATTTTTAGATGTCATAAGTTATCATAATGATGCAACTAATAATCAACTCCGCCATTTTGTCGAAGATAGGTGGGCACGTTAAAAAAAATCAGTATTGCAATAAAAAATTATACAAATATTTGCAATTTATTTTCTTTTTTTATATATGTGTTTGTTACTTGATACTTATTTTGTATAATAAATTATTTTATAAAAATGTCACTAAATTATTTCAAAAGAAAATTGTTCAAATATAATGATAATGATTGCAAATTACTATCTTTATTATGTGGCTAAAAAGGCCGCAGAGATAGAAATTTATGAACAAATGTAACTAGTAAATTATTTTAATCTTTATTTGCGATAACTTTACTGAACCTATTACTAATCTGCAAATTACACAATAACAAAAACTGTATCACTACTAACAACAAGTGCTGAATCCAGTGCCGGTCAAGGGGGGCTAGGGGTCTATAGCCCCTAACCCAGGTCATTTAAAGGCCCCCAAAAATTTAAAGGACCTTTTCTTTTTAGTCATTTTTAGGCTCTGGCCCATAAAAAGGCCTTCAAAAACAAAAATAGCCCCGGGCCCCAAGAATTCTTAATCCGGCTCTGGCTGAATCAGCAAGTTAAATCTCTAGTGCATTGGTGATAATTTAGTCGTGATAATCACAACTTATTCACTAGTAACAAGTCGCCCTTCTATCAAATATGATAAAAAGTTTACAAAAACACTATTGAGTCTCAATCACTTACAATTAGAAATGAATTAATATTTATACACCAGTTTATGCGCACATGAAGAATTTGTTTAGTTTTTCACAAGTTTTTTCACCAGAAGTTAATAAGTTGATGAATTGAGTACAATGTTTTTTGCAACCAAGGTTAAAATTGCAATTTCTAAGTTATGTGAATATATTTAAAAATTGGTTGTTAACCATTTTTAAATATCTAAAAAACTTTAATTAAATCATTTCATAGCAACAAAAACTGCTTTAAAATAAAATAGCTTTTATACTTTTAATAGAATTTGTTGAAAGTAATAAAATGACAAAAATTTATTTGTATATGTAGACAAAAAAACTACTATTAAATTTTACTATTGTAAAAATTAAATTTTTCGTTTGTTTTTAAAATCTTTTATATATTGTAATTCCTAATTATAGTCATTCATTACAAAAGTAAAATAATAAATAAAATCGGATGAATTCTTTTTGTTTCGTGATTTTTTTACTCCGTTCTCAAAAATTGTTAAATATAAATGAGTAAATATATTTGATTTTTTTTCAAAAAAGGCCATTTTGTGTTTATCCTCGTTGTTGTTATTTAGGTACCTCAAGAAGACCAAATGGTCTTGTCACAGAGCACTGCGGAAGTGCATTTAACCAGGAAGTTCACGCCTCCTCCCTTACCGTGACGCGAAAATATGTTAAGAGCTCTTTTCGAACCTGGATCTCCTGCTTATAAAGCAAGCCGTTAAAGTAAAGGACAAAGGAAGTCGATTTAGAAAGATTGCATAGAGAAACACAATTTTAAGAAGAAGATTAAGAAACACATAAACTATAAAAACCTTTTTAACATACATGAGTATTTTGAAAAAAAAAAAAAAAAAAGCTTACAAAACTTTTATGTCTACATTTGTAACTGAGCCTGCAGTTATGCTTTTATAAAAAAAAAAGCTGCACTGTTTTATAGTCAATTTCGTCATTTAAAAACCGGTTTTGAATAGAAATAAACTCAATAAACAACTTTGTTGACTTGTACGCATAGTTAAGTTTTGAAGTACTTATTGTAAACCATTTTGAAGTGTTATTCACAACCATAATAATAAAAACTATATTTCTTGTTTAAACCAGAAACTATATTTCTTCTATAAACAAGAAACATAGTTTCTTGTTTATACTAATATTTATTTTGCAATAAGTCTACAATTTAACAAAAAACTTGATTAAAACTATAAAAGCAGTTAAAGCGTTTACGTAAAAAAATTAAGCCTACATACATACAAAGTAGAAAAAGTTTATTTGAAAAAAATATCAACGAAAAACGCCCTTTTTAAAACCACGATACCTCGAACAATTGCAATTTAAATAATTAAAATGTTTTGTCGACGTATTTGAAAAATAAAAAGATTTAACAAGCGAATCAAAGATTTTCGCTGTAAAAGATAGATAAGTTTAGAGATTGGTGTTAATGATAAGTAACTCCAGAGATTGAGCAAATTTTAAATTTTGTAATATTGACACTGGTGTCAAATAAATAAGATTTACAATAAAATACGGTGATCAAAGCCTCTGAGCAATATAACCCTGTAAAATTGGGTCTACTGTCAAAGATAAAAAAATCTTTTTATTTGGTACTAAACTAAATTAAAAATCATTGGATAATTAATTTATTCAAAAAAAATTTCTTATCATTTTAAAAAAAAAAACCTCTATTTAAGGGAGTTGTCAACTAAAGACCTTGATCTTGTAAACAAAGTCTTCAAGGAAGTTGTCAACTAAAGACCTTGATCTTGTAAACAAGGTCTAGGTCTTTAGGATTTTTACAGACAAATTATAATCACGTTTATAATCGTAGAGTTTTTGAAAATGGTAATACTGTTCCATTACAAATATATGGGCCTTGAAGCCCTAATTTTAAGTTAAAGGTTAAAAATAATACATTAACTACGATACATAAAGTTTGCATTTAAGATGCACAAAAATTTTTTGCTTATTATATTTACATTTGGTGTACTGCAAGAAAATTTACTAATACATATTAACTTTATTTATTGCATTATTTTATTTTATATGCTGTAAGTTTATTTTTATAAGCTGTACTACTAAAAAGTTTTACAAATTGTTTTGCTCAGATTTTTTCAAAATGCCAAACAAAAACAATAAAAAATCTCACAAACAAAAACAATGAAAAATCTCACATACAATAAAAAATCTCACAAACAAAAACAATAAAAAATCTCACATACAATAAAAAATCTCACAAACAAAAACAATGAAAAATCTCACATACAATAAAAAATCTCACAAACAAAAACAATGAAAAATCTCACATACAATAAAAAATCTCACAAACAATAAAAAACCTCTCATACAATAAAAAATCCAACAAAAACAATAGAACTTTAGTCTGCTTCATTTTTTTGTTGAAGAGCTTATACTTCTTTAAATTTGTAACAAAACTAGCTTAATAAAACCACTATATCATATAATGAAGCTTTCATTGAAGTTTGGTATTTTTCCTGATGTTCTTAAAATAGCTAAAATAATCCCAATTTACAAACGCAACGATCATTTGAATATTACAAACGATAGACCTGTAACACTACTTTCTGTATTCTCCAAATTGTTCGATCGCGTAATTTATATTAGAATATTCGAATACTTCACTAAAAACAAATTATTCTACCCAAAACAATTTTGATTTCATAAAAATCACTCAAATGAGCATGCAGTTATTGAGATTAACTGCATTAATTATTGAGTTAACCAAATAACTGAAGGTTTTGACAAAAGAAAATATACTTTAGGAGTATCTATAGACTTATCTAAAGCATTCGACACAGTGTTTTGACATGCTAAATGCCAATTCGACCATTAGAAAAAATTAAGTGTTATGGTATAAATAATTTAACCCGGATTAAAAGCTATCTTACTGATAGAAAGCAGTATGCTTATAAATGTACAATCCGGAATGCTAAGCGTTGTATGTGGAGTACCACAGAAATCAATTCTTAGTCCGTTCCAATATTTACAACTTTTGTAATGCGTCATTAAAGCTGAACTCAATAATGTTTGCAGACGATTCCAATCTCTTTCTCACCAATAATGATATAAAACATTTATATACTGATATGAATACAGAGTTAACTAAAGTAAATATTTGGTTTAGGCAAATAAACTTTCACTTAATGTTGAGAAAATAAGTACTTAATTTCTATAATAATGTATTTATATAACGTTATACACTATTTCATAAAAAAAACACAAGAAATAAAGATGCCACTCAAGCTGCCCGAATTCTTCTTAAATGATAAAACAATTAAAAAACAAGTAAGCATAAAATTATTAGGAATTCCTGTCAATGAAAATTTATTTTAGCTTCCCAAGATAAATTATATCCAGTCTAAAATTACCAAAACGATTGGCATTATGTATTGAGTTCGCCCATACCTCAATATGTTAAGTCTTAAATTGATATACTTTGGACTAAATCATTGTTTCATAAATTATGAAAACATATCATAGGCAAGTACTCAACCAACAAAACTAAAAAAAAACAAATCATATACTCTAAACACAAACAAGAACATGCAAAACCACGTATGAAAAAATTAAAAATGATGTATATATTTATAATAAATATTAGCATCTAATTTTTATGTATAGATATTACAACAACCTTTTACCAGAAAACTTTAACAAGTTTGAAAAAAATCTAAATGAAAATTATAATCTAAGATCAAATGTAAACAACAACTATTAATTGACTTGGAAATATAATAAATTTTCAGAATATTGTATAATATAGAATGACTGTCAAAAGGAATATAAATTAATGGTGAAGTCCTTAAGTTCGTTTAAGCTTCAAACAAAAAAAGAAATTTTCAAAATGTGATTATAAGAAAAACTTACATTTTTAGTATTTTTTTGACAATTTTACAGTTAATTTTTTTTCGTTTAACTATATTTTTTGTTTTCTGTTTGTTTATTTTTTATTTAATTGTTTTGACTATTTTAACGGTAACTTTATACCATTACGATACAAAATTTAAGTCTTTATAAAGAGGCTTTATGAAAAGATTGTAATAATGTAATGTTTTCCGTATCTTCTTTGAGCTCCTCCTGCTTTAACTTTATTTTAATTATTATGTAATTTTCAGTATTTATTTATGTATTCTCTTCTATTGTATATATATTGTCCCCAACACAAGATCATCAGACAGTTGCCAACTTGTACGTCGTTGAGCAAGAACATTGCTTGGTACAAAACCTTTCTACACATCTGCACCACGAACTTGAAACAATTTAAGTAAAAAAACGCGTGATGCAACGTCTTTAGAAACATTTAAAAGACTAAAATCGAACTTTTCAAAGCTGCTTACTCGACCTAAATAATGCTTGTTTGTTAGTGCTTCTGAATCACTTTATCATATTTATGATTGTTGTCGAACTATGGTCTTTTAATATCTAATTATTAATACTATTATATGTATTTAAACGTGCATTGTGGAAATAAAAACAGTATTCTAAGTAAACCGTATGTTTTCTCGAAATTCAAAGTAAGAAACCAAAAACTAACGAATTTTGTGTTTGTGTAATTTTTAAAATAAAATTAGCACAGTTAATTCAGGATTAACCTCTGAAAATAGAGGAAGAATCAAGCTGTGAATAATAAACTTATCATTACCTGGAACAATAATAATATGTAAAAAAGTGCCGGAATGTAATTTATATTAAGATACAAGTGCGGCTCTTTAATGCTCAAAATTGTTGAAAAGAAAATTGTCAGAAAATAGACTAAAATCTAAAGGACTAAAAAAGGTTTCAGTTAAAGATTACATGCTGTTGAACAATCGATACCATTTTTAAAATAGATTTTAGACAATTAGTTTAATGTAAAAAAATTAAAAGACATGTTGAAACAGTAATATAGGAGAGAAAGTAGTAAAAGAAATATATTCTGAAGTTGGGGATTTTTTTTTTTTAGGTGCTCCCAGAAGTCCTTACGGTCTTATCATAGAACACCGCGGGAGAGCATTTAACAGGAAGTTCACGCCTCCTTCCGTACCAATGTCGCTTGTTGGGCTAGAGCTGGCGTCGATCCCCGGACCTCTGGGTTCTGAGCCAGAACTCTAACCACTGCGCCACGGCTGCTCATTGACGTTGAAGGCGATTGACGTTGAGGATTGACGTTGAATTTTTAAAACTTTGTTTAAGTGCTATAGAGTGACAGAATGTGAAATCAAAAAAAATCTAATGACGTAAAAATTATTAAAGTTCTTGATCAAATAGAATTTCATCTACTTAATGGAAATATAAACAGCATTTACAATAATCTTGAAAAATATTTTAAATCCACATATGCCACTTATCAGCAAACCAGTGGAACCAAAGTTTATGTTTTCAAACGACTTAACAACATACTAGTATGTTGCTTATATTATGTATGTTACTTAATTATAGCTATGATTAAGGTTCGAAACTGCTGGAAAATATTCATTTGAATAGTTAGTAAATTTTTTCAAAAGCACAAAAAAGTTAAACATTTTGTTTCTGTATATAATTCTTTTAGGTTTTTAAAATCTGTCATGGTTCTAGTTTTTACGTTTTTAAAATTCATGTCTTAGTTCTAGTTTGTTGCTTAATATAAATTAACTATTAACGAGAACAAAGAGTCTAAAATAAAACTTGGACTAAGAGTGTCACCAAAAGTGCATGCTCTAGTAAATTTCTTTCACTTATGTCAAATTACAACCCAAATATAGTATTGAGTTTTTGGTTTGAACAAACTTCTGAATCTTTTCATTATATTTTTGAACAGTTTGAGGAGAGTGGATACAAAATTTCCATTAGCCTCTTGAAGATTATCCGCAAAGTCTCCTTAAATCCACGGTTACGTACAATTCCTTAAATACC